CTGATATATTTATAGTCCTCTTACCTCAGCCAAACAAGAGGAACTTACTTCTGTTTCAAGGAGCTGACTTATCCCCTCACGTAGGACCCTGTTTAACAGGTTGTTTCACCAGCCCTGCAATGAAAGCAGCCTGCGGCACCTTCTCAGCAGAACTTGACCTAAAACCCCTTCTGCTGTGACCATTGTCCAGTCAGACATTTCAGGGTCTGAGCATGCTCCCTGAAGGAATCGTGCCAAAATTCTCCATAACCTCACTCTGAGCATGTGGGAGACCCTAGGCGGACATATACTGAAGCTGGTAATCTCCTACCCTTGTCCAGAACAGTACAGATTTTAAGTTTCAAATTTTATTTGTTACCTTTTCACTACATTGATAGCAAACTATACTAATGAGTATAGTATAGTTTTTTTACATATGGAATTTATTGCATCCTTAGAAAGTATTTACTGTCAAGCTTTTAAAATATAGGGTGTCCCCAAAAAAACAATACATACATTTTCAATAATTACAAGGCAATGTTTATTAAAAATACATTTCATTGCCTGGCCAGTGTTGCTCAGTGGTTGAGCATCAACCTATGAACCAGGAGGTCACAGTTCGATTCCTGGTCAGGACACATTCCTGGGTTGCAGGCTTGATCCTCAGTAGGGGGCATGCAGGAGGCAGCTGATTGATTATTCTCATCATTGATGTCTCTATCTCTCTCCCTCTCCCTTCCTCTCTGAAATCAATCAAAATGTATTTTTTAAAATACATTTCCTTTTCAAAATTGAGCTATCAGCTGCTAAGGTGTGTATACATTTTGGTGAGACACCTTGTATATTGGTAAATTTCCCTCATAATTATTTTGTATCATTCTTTGTGTTAAAAATATTTTTTAAAACCAGGCAAGGGGTACTCTCCCAGCCCCCTGTCCAAGGCTCCACTCTGGGCCTGCTCTGACCATGCCCCTCCAGTGAGGTGAAGAGCCTGTGCAGCCAAGGGGACATGCCCACTGAGAGCTAATTTCTAAATCAGGCTCATGGTTCCTGGAATCCCAGCTATCCTGCTTCCAGGGCCTATGTGGACCTCTTCCATCTCCCCTCAGGTCCATCTTCCTCGGGCACACTGGCCAATGGTGTGAGCACCAGGTTCGATGGATGGCCAAGGGACCTCTGTATGGGGGGTGGGGGGGTGATGGTGTGTGGATAGGAGGGCTGGATGTCCACACGTGTGCAGGGGAGGTGCCTTGTGATATGGGACAGAGTCAACTGTAGAAAGAAAAGGTGATGGGCTGCAAGCCAGGGCCTTGCACTGCCCATACCATGACGTTCTTTCAGATAACTTCAAGGAGTCCAAATATTGACCCTAGCTTTCCAGGCCATTATATATACACTAGAATCCTTTTCATGAAATTCGTGCATGGGGTGGGGGGGTCCCCCAGCCCAGCCTGCCCCTCTCACAGTCTGGGAGCCCTCAGTGGATGTCCTACTGACAGCTTAGGCCCACTCCCCACAGGGGAGCCACAGTTTGGCAGCAGAGGCTCGGAGCAGTCGCCGTGTGTGTGTGTGTGTGTCCCGCTGGGGCCTGCCCCCTGCCACACCACAGAGGCTTGGAGCAGCACCCCTCTGTGTTGATCTCTCAGGCTCCTGGCTGCGCCTGCATGTTGTTCTCTCCCTTGAGTGGTGGCCAGGGCGGGCAGGAAACTTGGCTTCCTCCATCACTGGAGGCAACTGAAACCTCCAGCTCCATGGCCGCTTGGCTTCTCCGCTGCTGCCACAGCGAGGCTTGGCTTCTCCCCTCCTGCGCTGCGGCCTCAGCGGAGAAGCCAAGCCTCTGCAGTCTTCAGTCTTCAGTCTTCACTCGGAGCCAGAGCCTTCACTCGGAGCCAGAGCCTTCGCTCCGCACCTGTGTATGCAAATTAACTGCCATCTTTGTTGGGTTAATTTGCATTCTCATGTGATTGGCTGGTGGGCGTAGCTGAGTGACACCAATTTGCATATTTCTCTTTTATTAGTGTAGATACTAGAAGCCCAGTGCACAAAATTCATGCATGGGGAGTGTCCCTCAGCCCAGCCTGCACCCTCTCCAATCCGAGACCCCTCAGAGGATGTCCTACTGCCAGTTTAGGCCTGATCCTTGCAATCAGGGACCACTGGCTCCTAACTGCTCACCTGCCTGCCTGCCTGATGCACCTAACTGCCCCCCTGCCTACCTGATGGCCCCTAACTGCCTCTGCCTGCCTGCCTGATCGCCCCTAACCGCCTCTGCCTCAGCCACCACCACCGTGGCTTTGTCTGGAAGAACGTCCAGATAGATGTCCAGAAGATGTCCTGTCTGATTAGCATATTACCCTTTTATTAGTATAGATTTATTACAGCCCAAATATTTAGGCATCCTATATGGGCCTTCATTGTCCTTTCCAATTGTGCATTTATCTTGTCTATTCCTGTTCTCTCTGCTTCCCTTTTACTCTCAGAAAAAGGAGTATCCTTCCTCCTTTTCCAAACGACCCTCTGACTATGAACCTGACCTCCTTCTAATACCTCCACTCTAGGCCTGTGAAGCACGAACACCTCTCCCCCAACAGCCCTCCATGTGCTGCTCTAATTCTCTTTTTATACAACAACCTTTTATTGAAGTTGTCCCCCAAAAGTCACCATTGATTCTGGTGCCCAGAAGTCATTAGTCATCTCTCCTTGATGGCATGGTTAGTGTAACCCAGTGCCATTGCACAACCACTTCCTGAAATCCTGCACTCCCGTGTCCCGGGCTCTGGCCTGCTCTGGCCCTGCTCCCTCTACTCTCACTCAGCTCTGAGTCTTTCTTCCACTCCACCAGGGAGGATGCTCCCCAGGTTTCTGGGGAAGGGCCCACTGCTCTTCTCTTTCTGTATAATCACCCTTGGCAGTCATGTGTCTCCCTCCTGGGGAGACAGCCACATCTCTGACTGCATTAAATAGATTTCCTCTCTGATGCCTCCCCAAATGCATGATTTCAGCATGTCTGAAATGGAATTCATCTTCCCCAATAACCTAATCACCTTCTGACTTCCCATTTATACATAAAAATTACTTCAATGGGAATTTTTTTTCTACTTTTCATTTTAAACACAATGGTTTCAGTTATATTATGGGTTGTTTTTTTTTTGTCAGCTAGCTTGAGCTAACCACCATTTTATACATGGTTGCTCGTGGGCCGGGGGGGGGGGGGGGATATATTCCAACTTATAAACAGTTTATTTGTAAAATGAATGTGGCTCACACAGGAAAGGGAATTTCCCTATTGCCTCAACTTGATTGCAAACATTTTTAAAGCATTTGTGCAGTAGACACACCAGGTACACTCATGGATACTGAAATTCAAAGGTGAATAAGACACGGGCTCACCTTCCAAGAACTCACCAGTTAAAAAGGAAGACATGTAAAGAAATAGTTGCATTCCCCCACACACCTACAGAAGTGTGTTACATATAGTAGGAGTTCCAAAGACAGCTGTTGATTAATGCAGTTGGTAAACAGAAGTAGTGATTCTTAAGCATTTTGTGCCATAGTACTCCAAGTACTCCCTGGAATCTTTGCCCCAGACTCACACTCAGAATTTTCTTTGCAGATGCCCCAATTGCCCAGATACCCTGAGTTCTAGTCATATCAACATCACAAAAATTCTTAGTGGGAAGGGAGGAGGGAATTTGAGGCACACTCAGCAGTCGGAGGGAACTCTCTTGCCCAGGTTTAGTCTGCCTCAGGCCCCACTTCTTTCCAGATTCTGTGAAAGGCAGCACCTCACTCTCAGCTCTAGTCTTTTCTCATCAGACAGGACTTTCTCCTGCACATTGTGGGTTAAAGAATTTTAAAGGTATTTTCCAAATTGAAAAATATATGTTATACACTGTCAAGTTGAAAAGTGGGTTATAAAATCACATGGGCAATGTTACCCATTTGGGTTAAAAATTATGTTGATGTAAATGTGTGTATGTGTGAATGTGCAAGCCTAGGATTTTATACAACAAAACAGTAACAGAAGTTATCTTTAAGTAATGAGATTATGGGTAATTTTTACTTCCTTTTTGTTCTTTTCTGTCATTTGTACAATGAATATGTTTCAATTTGTGTTCAGAAAAAAAAGCATGTGTATTAGTTTGCTATTGCTGCATAACAAATTACCACAAACAACAGTTTAAAGCAAGATCCATTTATTAACTAACAGTTGGTTAGAAGTCCAGCAGGTTGATCTGTCTTCTCTGCTTGGGGTCTCATTGGGCTGAAATCAGGGTGCCAGGCAGGCTTGGCTCTTACTTGGAGGCTCTGGGGAAGAATCTGCTTCCAAGACCATTTAGGTTGTTGGCAACATTTGGTTTCCTGTGGTTATAGGACTATGGTCCCTGTCTTGCTGACTCTCAGCAGGGTTGCTCCTAGATGCCACTCTTGGGGCCTTGCTCCATGGTCCCTGCCATTTCAGCTGCAGATAACTCCCACATGTCAAGTCACCCTCTGCTTCAAATCTCTCTATCTTTCTGTCCCACTACCAGCAGAAAAAAAATCTCTGCTTTTAAAGGGCTCATAATATTAGATTAGGCCCAGCTAGGTCATCTCCCTTTTGATCAACTTAAAATCAACTGATTAGTAACCTTAATTAAATCTGCAAAATCCCTTTTACTTCATAAGGTAACATGAGTGATATTCACAGGCTTTCTAACAGGGGGCAGGAGTCTAAGGGCCACCTCAGAATTCTACCTACCACAGTGTGTGTGTGTGTGTGATTTTTTTTAACTCTCCCTGAAAGTAAAGAATGGAATTCTTAGTTTCTTAGTAGCATCTTCTGCCTCCTGCTGTAGAGCAGAGATCACAAAATAGGATGGACCAGAGTGGAGGACCTGGGCTGTGTTGCCTTGGCTGGCAAACACATATCCGCTCTCCGCAATTCTGGGCAATAACCGACAGGAGAGTGGGGCTTATAGGTCCAATGGCAGTTCTGTCGTGGACAGAGGCTTCTCACTCTCCGATTCTCTTGCCTGTAGTATGACATCGCTGGACACTCTGGAGACGGCTACAACATTGATCTGGTTCCAATGAACAAAATCCCCAAGGACAATAAGCAAAGACTAGAAATTCTGAAGGTAAATACATCGTTGCCGCTATGCTGTGAAAGCTCCCACCAGATTAGGCAAAGTATCTTCTGTCACTGCAGAAATTCCCTGAAGAAGCAGCAGATTCAGGGAAGACTTTCTGTCTCACAAATATTCAAACTAAGAAAATACTCGTGCCTAAAATCCTTTTCTCCACCACAACAAATTTAAACTTCATTCCCTACATACTTTTCAGGTACTCAGTATTGTGTCAGGATTCTCCAACCAGGGTCACCTCCTATCTCCTATGCAATTCTTCCCAGCCCCTAAATATTTCAGTAGGAGAAAAATGACCTCTTATACTATATTTTATAACCCTAATTTTATGTATTTCTTAGTATTTAATGATAAATTTAGTTTTACATACTTAGATCTACAATAGAAACACATGCCATGATTTTAATGTAAATTCCCTCTATTGCTATTGATGTAAGTACATTGTTTCGTATTATAACTTTGTTTATTAGAAACTCTACCCATTCCTTATTTTTCTCCTGTGTTACCTTCATCCTCCAATGTGATACCAAGTTTTATATTTTCTTACATTTTTCTCACTTTATTGTTTTTATTTTATTAAATTCTATTGGGGTGACATTGGTCAACATGAACATATAGGTTTCGTGTGTGGATTTCTAAGTTACAAAATCTGTATAGAGCACCATGTGCCCACCCCCCAAAGTCAAGTCTTCTGTCACCTCATATTAGGACCCCCTTCTCCCCCAATCCTCCTTTTTCTCACTTTAAATGGCTAAATTTTAAAAACTAAATGCCAACTGGGGTTGTTTTGGAGCATTTCCTATTTCTAACAAAAACCTGAACCACATACAAATATTACTGGGCGCTGTTGTCACTCCACAGTGCAGGTTAAAGAGAACTCACTCGAGACTTCTTATTCACATGTAATAATCACTATTTGTGAATATTTATGGTCAGTAGAAAAATCAGGTTTGTTAAAAAGACATTTCTCATCCATGGCTTTTGTGCAACATCTCCTATCCCCAGACGATGCATGCCCATGCTCAGTTCTGCATGAGTGGGGACCACACTTTAGAGGGGACAAAGCATGCCATCCAGGAAATTGTCAGAGAAGAAGCTGATGAGTACTTCGTCATCGTCTTGAGTGATGCAAACCTGTCCCGATATGGGATACATCCTGCCAAGTTTGCCCAAATCCTGACAAGCAACCCTCAAGTTAATGCTTTTGCCATCTTTATTGGATCTTTAGGTGATCAAGCAGCCAGGTAAGTGTTGCCTCCAGATGGAGACATACTTGGGGCAGGCACAGAGATAGTTGGGTCCCTGACGCAGGGCATTTCCTGGGCTTAGCACCTTGAGGGGCAGTGGGACTGGAGGAAAACAGACACCAAAGTCATCTCTGAAGGAGCTGATGGTCTAGTTGAGAGGATATGACGTTCAAGCTTCTGTTTGGATGAGCAACAGTAATTTTAAATTAATTAATTTTCAGCTTATATTTAAACTTACCAATAATGACATAAATAGCAAATTGATTTGTCTAGTAAATTTAACAGTCTCTTACACATTTTGTACTGTACATCTAAGTCCCAAGCTCAGTTCTAATCAGTTCATGTTCAAAACTTACTCAAAGTAGCAAACACCTACTATTTTCATAGCATGAGAGAAATTTGTATGTCTATACAATGTATATAGACATACGCAAACATATATAAGTAGCATATAATTTGTGTGTGTATAACATACATTTACATAGACATACATACATACACACACAGAGAGATGCATGTGCCTCCCTTGCTGGGGAGAGAAGGCAGGGGAAACACTTGGAGACAATGTAAGGCAGTGTTTAGAGGAAGATGCTGCACTGAATATACTGAGTGTTCAGTAGAGGAACTGATGGTCAGACAATAAGCACCATTGTGGATGCTCTGAAGGCAGAGATCTGGAAACACTTTCAATGACTTAAACACACTAACATTTCTCCTTTTGAATTACAAACAGAAAGAGCTCATGTTTTTTTATCTGCTTAAAATACTTTAAAAAGCAGAAAACACAAGTGAAAATATACCTCCTCCTCCACCAAAAAATAATTCCTGCCTAAAACTCAAAAGGCCATGTGCCTCTGCTATCCCACGTTTTACCTGCCGTACTCCAGTTTAGAGTCCTGTATGGACTAGGAAACGTTTTAGTGTCCAAGTGCTGGCATTTTTTCTCTTTATATTCCCTTTTCCATGCTGCAGGATTGCACAGTTCCGTTGAGAACAGACTTAATATCACTTAACTACAGTCACTTTATTACTTTGCATTTTTCTCAGTTTTGGATGTTAGCCTTTTCTAGAACTTCCATGTCCTTGAACACAAACCATGTCTTTTCTACTCAGATTTTCTTCACGACCAACCCAGTGTTAAGCAGACGGCAAACTCAGCAAATGCTGCTTGAGCTGAAATAGCTGTTTTGTCTTTCTAGTGAACAGATCCTGTTTAAATACTTAAGAAAGTACAATAATACCCTTGTGGTTTCCTAGGGAAATGGTCCAGCATCTACTGGCAAAAGATATGTTGCAGAATTAGCTGGTCTACCGGGCATGCCAAATGTATGATACTACACAGGATGGCTGACTTTTATTAAATGTCATTTGAAAACCAAAATCTGCTGGCACAGTGAAAGGAGGCTTTCTTTCGGATGGAATTGTGTCTTACACTTTTATTGCCTTCGAAAATGGCCCTTTGTTCCAAATGATAAATTGGCATTTAAAAAAATTATCATAAGCCTGTATAACCTCAGTGCCATCAAAGCAGCAATTGCATAAGTCAGGTTGCATTTCACATGTGTGTGAGGGGCAAAAAGAGAGGTGGTGGGCGGGGAGAATACCACTCGAGGTTTAACTGGGCAGCATTTTTCGAGGCCTGTTTTCTAGCAGGAAAAGCACTTAGAAATACAGTGAGGCCAACACAGTCACTGGACACAGGTGAGCTAATCTCACTTTGGTTCCAGGGTCTGTCAAGGGAATATTCACTGATTTTCTCACTGAAAAGAACTTTCCTTCAGTTCACTCCTTTTTATTTTTAATTTACAGCATTTTTTTAAATTGACAGCTTCACAGATGTCCCAGGCCTCCCATGTGCTCTTCCTGCTGTTCTTGCAAAGCTTTCATTGCCTGGTGACAGTGGATTCAGTTGCAGGCAGGGAGGGGCAAGGTATTAGGAAGTAAAGACATCCATTCCTGAGAAACCAGTTGGATGCTGTGCTTTGTGGAGGCAGGGGGTGGAAGGGGCACCCCAATTTGCAATGGTAATTTCCTCTCCCTTTCCATCCTGGCAGGCTTCAGAGAACTTTGCCCGCTGGCCGGTCTTTCATTGCCATGGATACCAAGGACATCCCTCAGATTTTACAGCAGATCTTCACCTCCACCATGTTGTCCAGTGTTTAAGAAGTGCCCTTTGTCACTCTAAGGCCTGGGATTTGCAATAAGATGGGAATAAAGAGTACTCTGAAGAAAAGCAGGCACAGTAAAGAGAACCCATGCAATGACTGGATAATTCTGACATCCCTGGCTCTTCCTACACTTGCCCAGTAACCAGAATTCAGAAATGTATCCAGAGGGAGGCTTGCGCATGGAAATCTACAACCATTGACAGGTTTACAAATAATTAGAGGAAGCAAGTTGAGCTGCATTTTATAAAAGGTGAGGGTGAAAGGAAGGTGGTTTGACAACTGTGGTGCTTAGTCCATTTCCAAAAACCTGAGGGATGGAGAATACCTACCTTTGCCTTAACATATCATCATGTCACCTAAGATAACAAAAGTGACCTCATCGCGAAGCCCCGATGCCACATTCTGACACTGAGATACAAGTCTGTACAAACCCACCCACTGGTTCCTGCCCAAAAATTATTTTTTTAAAATATATTTTATTGATTTTTTACAGAGAGGAAGGGAGAGGGATAGAAAGTTAGAAACATCGATGAAAGAGAAGCATCAATCAGCTGCCTCCTGCACACCCCCGACTGGGGATGTGCCCCCAACCAAGGTACATGCCCTTGACCGGAATCGAACCTGGGACCCTTCAGTCCGCAGGCTGACGCTCCATCCAGTGAGCCAAACCAGCTAGGGCCCAAAAATTATTTTTATTTTCTCCCCACTTTGTGTTGCCCAACAATGATGTGATAGTATTAAACCCACTGAAAAGTTTTTCTAACAGCAGCATTTTATAAAGGTTGGATTTTCTCAGTAATTCCATTTTCTTGGCCAAAACCAAAAGGAATCAAAAGATCCTTGGATTGCTTCCTTTCCCACGTGACTTTTTAAAGGTTCTTGAAGTAATAAAGAGCAAATGCCCTATTCTCTGGGGGGCCGGGAGTGGAAGGATAAGGATGTCTGGCATCGAGTTCCTTTTCTTCTTGTTCTTCTACTGCTTCTCAGAAGTTTCACATACTCCCGCTTGGTTTCCAAAATGCAGTGCTCAAAATAACAAATGCTTATGTTTTTACTTAAAGTAAAAGCACGGCAGTATGTTTGAACTGAATGATAACTGGAAATTTCTTTAGCTGTTAAAAAAATACCCTGTTCGAGCTTCATTCTTTTTCTTTCAAAGTATACCTTACTCCCACCCTGTCTTGGGCTGACCTTTATTTATCAATAGGCTCAATGTCACTTAGTTTAAAATCAAATGCTTCAGCAGAACTCAGTATCTCCAACCATATAATAAAAAGTTCCTCTTCGCCACTGATTGTAAAGTCAGAAACACTGGGGCACCAGTGTGTGTGCCTTCTTTCAAGTGGGAAAAACTAGCCTTGCTAATAACGTTACCTAATTCACTCACATATAGTAGTGACATTGTACAGATTCATTTCATTGTCATTAATTAGAGGAAATGTGAAAAGATAACACCCATTTGTTCCACCGCCCCATCTCCCTATCAGCTGTCAAAGAAATAAAAGCAATCGGATTTCCAATACACTATTGCCAATGAGTTTGCAAGGCATGTCCTGTTTTCCTAACCAGAGCCGGCCCTGTGTGTTGAATCATCCAATGATGCAAACAGTTGCAATGCAGTAAGTACCTTTAAAAATGTGGTTACAGCCCAGCCAGTGTTGCTTATTGGTTGAGCATCAGCAGGTGCACCAAGAGGTCACTGCCTGAATTCCCAGTCAGGGCACAAGCCAGGGCCGTGAGCTCAGTCTCCAGCAGGGGGCGTGCAGGAGGCAGCCAGTAGATGTTGATGTTTCCTTCTCATCGATGTTTCTCTCTCTCTCCTTCCTTCCTCTCACTAAAATATCAATGTTTTAAAAAAAAAAACATAAAAATGTAACCACATTAACAACAATAAGAGTAAGAACAACAGCAGCTGGCATTTACTTTCTGTGCACCAGGTATGTTAAGTGATTGCATATGTTATTTCAGTCAATCCTCACAGCAATGCATGCAAAATAAGTACTTTTTACCTCATTTTACAGATAAGAAAACTGAGGCTCAGGAACTTCAGTCACTTCCCAAGATTGAGTAGTAGACTATTGACTATTCGTTGCACTACTAAAATCCTCAAATAAGGAAACTGAGGCTTAGAGAAGTTCAAGGACATAGACCACGCCCACTGTCAGGCGGGGCCAAGCCAGAGGGTGCTGGTCGCTCTCATGCTTCTTTATTCTCGAAAACCTAGATGTCAACTCTTGCGCCTTTTCTTCTTTCTCCCAGTGCACTTCTTCTTCTGGTCAAGTGACCACACTTCACAGAGCTCCCTCCTCTCCTTGGTACTCAGAAACTGCCTGCACATATCCAGGCACTCAGAGGGGGGGTGGGGGGCGGGGACTGAGGGCATGGGACACTGCTGGCAGCACTTCGAGCCACTCCTTCCTGGGCACCGCGGCAAAGGGAGGATGTTCCCACCCAAGGGGCAGCCTAGCCCGGGGGCGCCCCTCTGCCAGAGGGTCAGCCCCTGAAAGGCTTTAGAAATCCAACCAAGAGCACCCGATAGAACAGCCTTGTAACAATCTTCCACGTGTGCAAGAGTAAGCACAGCTTTTTTTTTTTTAACATGGAAAGAATATTGGCAAGTAATTTAATTTACCTTTCCCCACTGGCCAGACATCCTCTGCAATTATTATTTTAAAACAAACAAACAAACAAAAAACAACAACAGCAAAAACACAATAATTCCGGGCTTTTTCGATTTCTAAAAGGGAAGGATGATGGGAGAGGGGAGTGGAGAATGAGAAGGTGAAGGCTTTTATTTTCACTTCTTGCAATACCTAAGAAGTGTGTGCCTTTATTATTAAATGCACTTAATTATGGGCCACTCCAGGCTGTTCCCAGGCCCTTCTTAGGGCCAGGACGTTACAATAAATGCATTGTGTGCCTCAGGGGGTGCCACTGAAAGGCGGCTAGCCCAGCCCGCGCTGTAGTGAGCCCCTGTAATGCTGAGAAGGTTCATTGTTACCCGTGAGCAGCCAGGAGGAATGAATGCGATGAATAGCGCGGTACATGATGTGTGCTGCCCAGAACCCTTTGTGTGCCCGGCAAAATGACCTCGTTGCACGGGGCAGCCCAAGCACCGCCACAGAAGTGCATCAGAGCGGGAGTACTTGAGCCCGTCACAGGTTTGGAATGAATCATTTAATTCTTTACACTTACACCCTTTCCTGTGAACTGTCAGAGGAGGAGAAATCCATCAATGCCAGCAAGAGACTCTCTAACCAACTTCTGGGGCTTGGGAAGCCATTTGGAAGTGGGGCTCTGTAGCCAGCATTGTCCGTGTTCCTGAAAGGCCGGCTCCAGAGGCTGCAGCCACTCCACCCGCCCCTGTGCCTATCAGATCAGCTGGAATTCACTTTCTCAGAGCACAGAGCACAGGGTACGGACTAGTCACTGGACTAGGGCAACGAGAGCAATAGTCGCTTATTCATTGCGTTCCCTTCTAATTTGTTTCTAACAATCGCATTTTAAGAGATATCCCACAAATTCTAAGCTGATTTCTCCTGACTGGACAAATTTTCCTGGAATTGCATCTCAGGAACAGTTAAATGTCTGCTTGTGCTTAGTATATTGTCCATAGCTTTTTCATCTTATTAAGAGATAAAATGTCCACTTTTTAACAGTTGCTCCAACCCATAACTTACTGTTTATAAAATACTTCAATGAAGCGTCTCACTGACTACCAGTTCCTGGCAGGGCTGCAGCAGAAAGCTCCTGCCTGCTGCCTCCCTTCTCCTTTCCTCTAAGCCTGGCTGTGGCCGCGCGTCCTGCAGGCGCTGGAACGGAGAGGCTCCTGGTGTGCCACCTGTAAGGGAGGTTACACATCTGCATGGAACTGGTCAGAGAAAGGAAGTTCTGGATGCTGCTCAGCCATTAACTACCTGTGCAAACTTGGGCTAATCATTGTGGGTCTCAACTGCTTCATCTCTGCATTTTAAATTTGGACAAAATGATCTGTAACCAAAGTTCCATGCTCCTATGTCTCACACAGTGAAGTGACTTTGTCCCTCGATGTCTTACAAGAACCACATCACGTCAGTGTATTTTGCCTCCTGAACCCCACACACATCAGCCCTCTCGCACAGAGGGCTTTGGCCCCTGTATCAGTTGCCCTAAGAAAAAATGTTCCTGACGGAACGTGCACTCAGAAAGTTATGCAATTGTCATTAGAATTGGAAAAGGGACTTTCCCTCATCAGCTGGACAGATATTTCTACAGAAATTTCTGACCATTGTCTCTTACTTTGCACTTTGCTGCCTTAAAATAAAACTCCCTCTCTGCTGATCTGCACAGTGGGATCCAAAAGGATGCGGAATTGGAAAAGTACTGTGTGCCGAGACTGAACAATGTGCAATTGTGTGTGTGGTTTTTTTAATTGTTAAATCCTGTAAACAGGATTTGCCGGGCTAACCTCTCAAGCTGAGGCTGATAGGACACTTTTTGAGACTGAGTGCTGTCTGGAGCTCCCACCTCCCACCAGAGCTGGTGTCTGTTCTTACAGCCACACATGTTGGCTTTGGAATGCCAGGGTTACATAATTTTAAATGAGTGGTGCTGTGGCATTTGGCCACTCAGAGCAAAGTATCACACTCCTTCAAGGTGGTTGGGATCCAGAGGTGTCAAGAACGACATGTTCTGCTGAAAGGACTCTCAAGAGACATAACTCCAAGGAGCCGCCGTGGGGTCCCCCCTCGGCAGGCACAGAGCCTCCCCGGGTCTCCCCTCTTCCCACAGGCTTCTGTGAGAGGGTTTGGGAGCCGCCAGCTCTTTCTCTAAAGGAACAATCAGTGTTTGGCAATAAACTGTGACCCCAAAGATAGCATGTGACCCCCAGAGGAGTTTCCGAATATAAGGATTTACTGAAGTTATGGCAACTCTGAAACACTAGTAGCGGTAGCTAGAGCTTGACCTGGGATGGAAAAGAGCAATGTCTGTCTGTCCATAGCTTTTTCATCTTATTAAGAGATAAAATGTGTCACGAGCAACATGTCACGAATGTAGCCGGCATGTGGCAGGGAGCTAATGAGCTTGTTCAGAGGCCTCTGTATAATT